GCTGGGGAGAAAGCAGAGAGGGCATAGCTGGGGGAGAAAGCAGAGAGGGAATGGCTGGGAGAGAAAGCAGAGATGGGGATAGCTGGGGGAGAAAACAGAGAGGGAGTCGCTGGGAAAGAAAGCAGAGAGGGGATCGCTGGGAGAGAAAGCAGAGGGAATAGCTGAGAGAAAGCAGAGAGGGGATAGCTGAGGGAGAAAGCAGAGAGGGAATAGCTGGGAGAGAAAGCAGAGAGGGAATAGCTGGGAGAGAAAGCAGAGAGGGAATAGCTGGGAGAGAAAGCAGAGAGGGAATAGCTGGGGGAGAAAGCAGAGAGGGAATAGCTGGGAGAGAAAGCAGAGAGGGAGTCGCTGGGAAAGAAAGCAGAGAGGGAGTAGCTGGGAGAGAAAGCAGAGAGGGAATAGCTGGGGGAGAAAGCAGAGAGGGAGTCGCTGGGAAAGAAAGCAGAGAGGGAATAGCTGGGAGAGAAAGCAGAGAGGGAATAGCTGAGAGAAAGCAGAGAGTGGATAGCTGGGGGAGAAAGCAGAGAGGGGATAGCTGGGAGAGAAAGCAGAGAGGGAATAGCGGAGAGAAAGCAGAGAGGGGATAGCTGGGGGAGAAAGCAGAGAGGGGATAGCTGGGGTATACATGGCAGGGAGCAAAGAGGTCATAGAAAGCCAGCCACAGACAGTGTGGCCATGTACACAGTCCGCAATCGATATAGTAACTCTATTCCTATTTGGAGAGAATTAATTGGCTGAGAGCCACCTGAAACTCTCACCTTATTAACTGGAACTAAAGAACTGCCCCATTCGCAATATGAGGACAGGTTGCCAGGAGGAGGTCAAATAACCCAGCTAATTGTCAAACCTCTTAAAAGCCATTTAATTTACTGTGAAAGGGTCATATGAGAATATCTAGTGCAATGTGAACAACAAACACTCAGAATTGTAGTCCTATTCGGTTTTTATTTCAGAAATCATTGGAGACTCAGCTTGCGCACAGTCTGAGAATAATCAACTCCCTTCATTGAAACTGTAACCAGAGTGTCGTTTCCCTTACTGCTTATTACTAACCTGGGTCAGTAATTATAGGATTCTCTGTCTCCTTAGTCTGACGGTGACTCCTCACACACGGCTGCTCTCCTCGCTCCATCAGTGATATAATTAGAGGCATTAAAGTGATCTGTCCTGCAGGGGTTTCATGCAAGACATTAATATCAATAACAGTTTAGCGTCCCCTAAACATTTCAGAAATATCACACAAGTCATCAAAAAATATCGAAAGAAATGTCTTTTCAGCCCTAGATATAAATGTAAGATACAATAATATAAAAAATCTTGTATAAGGATGATGAGATTCCCTTACCCAGAGAGCTGAGGGTCTGGTAATTCTCCATCATCACATCCCGGTAAAGCTCCTTCTCGACTTCATTTAAACAGTCCCACTCCTCCTCGGAGAAGTAAACGGCCACTTCCTCAAACTCACACTGTTCCTAAATAAGAAATGGTTTCCTCGGTTACAAATAATCCATCTACAAACAACCTCTGCAATAGGATTCCTTGTCCTGATATAGAAACAAAGAAGCAATAATTCACAAACTGAATATAATGCACAAAGCATCCAGTGGTATGGTACGGAACAATGTAATCAGAGGGAGACCACTAAATATCTGAAGTAACCGAAAGTATTAAGACAAAATTAAACTAACAAACTAGCCTTATACTCCAAGTAGTTCCCTAACGTGCCTTCATGGGCACCCCTTAAAAAAATCTAAACCCTACCCATTCCCCCCACATCCAAATAG